GTGGTGATAAACCTTTCTGGGAAGAAGGAGGCAGCTTCTCCCTCCCCACACCCTAAAAAATTTTAAAAAACAGAATCTCACTGACTTTTATCATCTGTTTTCTAGGGATAGACGCATGGGAGTGAGAATATGCGGACTCCTGGAAACCTGTAATTGGAGCTGTTTTGGATAAAAACAGAAGTGTGTCCCCATAGGAAAGGTTAAATGATGTTTAACCTTAGGAAAGGGAATTGGTGACTAGAAGGGTCCGCATGTCAGAAAGGGTAGAAATTTTCCCTAGCAGGGTTGCTCAGAGGCTAGAGCATTGGCCAGCAGACTGAAAGGTCTCAGGTTCGATTCCTAGTCAAGGGCATGTATCTTGGTTGCAGGTTCCATCCCCAGCCCTGGTTGGGCACATGGGGGAAGCAACCAATCAATATGTCTCCCTCACATCAATGTTTCTCTCTCTCCCCCCACTTCCCTCCCTTTCCCTCTTTCTAACCTCAGATGAAGATGGATGGATGGAAGGAAGGAAGGAAGGAAGGAAGGAAGGAAGGAAGGAAGGAAGGAAGGAAGGAAGGACATTTGAAGTAGAAAATGAGGAAAGAGGCTAAAAAGTAGAAAGTAAGTCGAAGCTGTATTTCAAGCTGTTAGAGAAACTTAAGTCGGACTGAAGGTCAACCAGTGAGAAACCCTTCGAAGGCCCATTCACGGAGGGTGGACAAACTGCAGTGGATTCACACCGCGGACTGCTATGTGGCCACAGAACTGACTACTGATGCACGCAACGCCGGGTGAATCTCAACAGCACGATGAGTAACACAAAGCCAGACACAAAAGAAATCGCAGCAGGATTCCATTTACATAAAGTTCAAGAACAGGCAAGAATAACTGGCGTTCTGTAATTCAGAACAGAGGGAATGGGGGCGTATGAATTGGCTGGAAGCGGCACAGGGACTTTCTGGGGTAACTTGGGTAATAGCAACGCGGGTAGGAATTTTTTAAAATGCCCCCTGGGCCTGCACCCTTTCTTTAGATGTTTGCCCTCAAAAGCACCAGGTCTGCCCCTGCAACAACCCTCCAATGGCTGCCTGCTGCCCTCAGCATCAAGCCCAGACCTCTCCCCAGGCACCGAGGCCCTACAACAGGAGGTCTCAGAGGATAAAGTCACATGGAGGGGGTTTGGTACTGAGGTCTGAGCCCCATGCAGATAATGAAATTAGACTCTAGCCCAGGGGTGGGCAAACTTTTTGACTCGAGGGCCGCAATGGGTTCTTAAACTAGACCGCAGGGCCGGAACAAAAGCATGGATGGAGTGTTTGTGTGAACTAATATAAATTCAAAGTAAACATCATTACATAAAAGGGTACGGTCTTTTTTTTTTTTTTTTTTAGTTTTATTCATTTCAAACGGGCCGGATCCAGCCCGCGGCCTGTAGTTTGCCCACGGCTGCTCTAGGGCAATGTTCTTAGAGTGGGGTGACTTTGCACCAGGGGACATTTGGCAATATCTGAAGACACTTTCTGTTATCACAACTAGTGACTCGGTACTACTGGTATCCAGTGGGAAGGGGGGCGCAGGCTGCTGCTAAGCATCCTACAATGCCCAGGACAGGTCCCTAAAAATGAATGATCTGGCCCCAAATGTCAGAGTGCCGCAGCTGAGGTTGAGAGACTGCTGTAGGCATATTATTTTAAAAGTCCCCAACCTGCACCAGACTTGAGAGTCCCTCCCCCACAAAACTGGCTCCTGCCATTTCTTTACCCTCATCTCCTACCCTTTGCCCTCAGGTTCTGCTACCACAGTCTTCTTTCTGGTCCTTCCCCAGAACCGTAAGAGAATAAACGTGTGTCATTTCAAGCCGCCAGGTTTATGCTAATTGGTTACCACAGCCCTAGGAAACTGAGTGGCACCCAGGAATCCGCATGTTAACGACCACCTCCCTCTGCCGGCTCTGACACAGGAGATCGGGTGGACCATACTGTGGGCAGCAGTACCGGCTGCTTCTCAAACACAGCCCAGTCTCAGGGATCCAGAGAATTCTGTTAGAGTTGGAAGGACCCCACAGCAAACATCCACTTCTACCTGCTCTTTTTAGAGATGGGGAAACTGAGGCCCGCAGCAAGGTGGAAGGATGAGAGATGCTTTCATTCAACTCTGTTTTTACAGGCTTTCAGAAACATTTGGAGGTTTCCAAATGAGTTATTGTGCAGACTGTCGATAGCTTTGCTATCTCATAATGACCCAATCGTGGAACGATTTAGCAATCCTGCTAATTGCATTTGGGGATATAGCAGTTGGGTAACTAGTTGGTGATTACTCATTCCCAAGAGCCCTACACATTGCATTACAAGGAAGCTAATCTTAGAAATACTTGTTAACGTCGATGATAATTACTAAGTAATTGGCTAGAACACGCCATTGTGAATTTATCCAGGATCTGCCAGGTAATTATCTGGTCTTGTGTTCCCTGTAAAATAAATCCAGAGTCCAAAAATGGTTCCAGTTGGTTGGCTATCATCCAACCACCGACCTCTGCCAGCCAACTGTGCGAATGCAGGCGATTAATCAAATTACTCAAATATTTGCTTTTGAACTGAATGTTAAGAAACCTGGATGGCCAACAAGTGGACGGTGCTAAATAGGGAAGAGGGGTGCAGAGAGGCCCCCCCAAGATAAATATATAATCACCCAGTAATATGGGATAAATGCCACTTCTTTGGGGGCTCATCTGGCTTCTTCACACAAAATACCAAAACACTTCAGAGACCAATTATTTGTCCCGAAGCTGCAGCGCCTTTATCACGGTGCCAGGAAGAGGCTGTGCTATCTGTGAAATTTGCAGGCAGTTATGATGCTCGGGAGGGGGCTCAGAAGAGGCCGCAAACACAGCTGGCTTGTAGGATGGAGACACATTTTCATAAGGACCACTTATTTTTCAAGCATGGCTGCTAACCGAGCCGCCTATTTCCAATTAGCCAGCCCTTGGCAAAGGGGTGCGAGAGGCTTGGGTTCCACTGATAACCCTGGAAAAGTCGGAGGGTGGAGGCAGGAGGTCGTTAGAAAGGCCAGGCAAAAGAGAAGACAGTGGATTTCAAATTTCTAGTTTGGGAAAGTAAAAACAGGGATTAGAAAGCCAGAAGGTAAGAGAAAGCTCGGGAGCAGACTGGGGGGAGTGGTGGGAAGAAGGGCAGTGCTGGGGAACAGACCACCTTCCAACCAGACCCGTGTGCCCAAGGAGAAGCTGCTGCCTGCCTGCTCGTGAGGAAGACACGTGCTGGGAGGAACGGGGCTGAGGGCCTTGTGTTGGCAGGTGGTAAAATGGCCACAGACCATCCCGTTCTCTGCATCCATGCCCTTGCAATGTGACACTATAAATTCTCCCATCCAGAGGCGGAGTCTGTTTCCCATGCCTTAAGCAGAGGTTAACCACGTGACTTGCTTTGGCCAGTGGACATTAGCCAATGGGACACAGACAGACATGTGAAAGGCACTTGTCCATTGGGGCTTGACCTCTTGCTGTTCTTGGAGCCCTCGGAGCACGAGCTGCCCTGTTGGGGTTGAGAGGCCACGTGGAGGAGAACCGAAGCACCCCAGTGGACAGTCTGCTAACCCAAAGGGCATCCAATATCGACCAGTCCCCATCTGACCTGTCAGCTGACCACAGACACATCCAAGAGCCCAGCTACTGAGCCTGGCTCAGTGCAGAACTATCCACAGATTAGAGAGAAACTATGAAGTATGGGGGTAGTTTGTCACTCAGCAAAAGCTTACTGATACACTCACCTAGTCAGAACCCCTCAGCTCCTGAATATTATCTGGGCTGACTATTTGAGAGCCACGGCTGTCCTGTGCAGAATGGACAACCACCGCTTTCGCCCCGTTTAAGGAGAGTTGAAGGACTACACCCAAATCCCCAATCCTTTGCAAACAAACACTTACCATTTGACACATGGGTTCCAGTCAACCCACCATCTGCATCATCAATGGTGACAGACAATCACACTCCTTCTACCAATCACCCAGGTCTTACAAATGGACTCAAGGAGGCTTTAATCACAAGGGAACAAATCAAAGACACACCAGGTCTTCCCTGAGCCCATAGCTCCCGCTCCGGACCTGCCGAGATGTGAGGCTTGTGTATTCGGGATATGACTGCTGGAGCTGAGTCTGGGAGACGGGGCTCCTAATCCACCTCTGGCATCACAGGCTGCCCCAGAACACCGCTGCTGTGGTCAGTCCTCATCTCCTACCCTCTGCCAGTTTAAAAACACACTGAAGGATTGTTCCACGCCGTTCAACTAAAACTGAAGCTATTTTTTCTTTCAATGTCCATGTCACTGGGCCAGGTTAGAAAGAGCAAATGCAAGGAAGTTCCTATCCCCTGACATTTTCCTAATGTCAGTTCTCTACTGATGACCCTTCTGTGTCAGGACAGACTGCGGATCCTGGACATTTCAAACCACAATGTGAAGGCCCGCATACACGCTTTGATGCTTTGAGGAAAGCCAGAGTAACAGGCATCGGAATCTTACTCCAAGGCTTAGCAAACTAGGTTCGTGGGCCACCTCCAGCCCATTGCCTGGTTCTGCAAATAAAGTTTTATCGGTACACAACCATGTACATATCCATTTGTGTCGTGTCTGTGGCTGCCCTCACACTACAGTGGCTGAGAAGTTCCTATAGCAACTGTATGGCTGCAAAGCTGAAAATATTTACTACTGGAAAAAGTCTCCAGACCCCAATTTAGTCTGATCCAGTTAATTCCCAGATGGAAAAAGTGAGTCTCAGAGATGTGGCTTTACAAATCCTTGAAGCACGGGGATCTAGATCCGATTTCCTGACGCCCCGCGCAGTGCTCTGCCGAGGGATTTTAGCATTCAGAGTGCTTTCTGGAAGGGCAAACCTTCAACCACACACCCTGTGAATGGCAGAGTAAACCCGAATCCCCATTTCTTAACTCTCCCGGAGGCAGAGCTTTGGGACTAAGCCCACGGGCGGGGAGCCCGGGTGGGACTGACCTGGTGATGATGGCCAGGTGGGGCGGGCTCATGCAGGCGCCCATGAACAGCACCACGTTCTCGTGCCGCGTCTGCCTGTAGGCCATCACCTCCCGCTTGAAGGCCTTCAGCTGCTCCTCGTTGTCCCTCTCGATGTCGATGAGCCGGATGGCCACCTCACCGTGCCAGCGGCCGTGGTACACCTGCCCGAAGCGGCCCTTCCCGATGAGCTCGCCGATCTCCAGCTGCTCGAAGGGGATGTCCCACTCCTGCAGGAAGATGCTGGTCTGGCTGGCCTTGCGCGGGAAACTCCGGGCCGAGAGGAGGGACAGGTTCATCTCCTCGAAGTCGTCCTCCGACTCCTCGGCCTCGTCATGGCCCTCTTCGTTCTGTGGTCGAGGGGGAGAGAGAGCTGTCCCCGCACTGCCTGGGGCATGGTGTCCTGCTGGGTCTGCTCTGCGCGGGTGCAGGCCTGGACCTGGCTCTCTGCATTCTTAACACCCTGAGACCACCCCCCACCCTCCGTGTATTCAGTGGGGCACAACCCCCCTGGGTATTTATCCGGCCCTGAGCTGTGTTTTCAACCAAGAATACAAATGGCTTGCCAACTTCTGCACGAGTAGCTGTTCCATGATGCACACCATATAATGGCCCATTAGGCTGGTGCCGGGAGGGATCACCACTTGGTAGTTGTCCCAGAGTTAGAACAGCCATCACTCAGGACCCCGCACCCCGACCTGCCCCAAGCCCTCTGCATCAGCAAGGACATCACTCAGCTTTGCCGAGTTCCAGGAAGCCCTGGAAAGCTGGCTTCACCATCCCCAGTTCTCACCTCTGAGGTCGGCTCCACTTCAATTTGAAGTAATGGATTTCCTTCCAAGCTTTAAAGAAAGAAAAATAAATGTGACCCTCGGGTGCAAAGGTGGGCCCCTGTAATGACCTTATCCTGGTATGAGACCCAAAGTGAGAAGTCCTCACCACAAGCCTTCATCTCGAATTCACTTCAGTGCTGCTGTCAGAAATAGCCCATAACCTCGCCGTAAAAAGCCGCACAATGAGGACTTTGTTTTCAATACTTTTTCCGGGCTGCTCAGGGCTAATTTTTCATGACTGCATTGGTTTCCACTAATCTAGCAGCTTCCTATACACTGCTCTAAATGCCGTGGGTGGAAGAGTCCTCGGAGCCCTAGGTGTTCCCTAGAGAGAATTAATCAGGGCTCCAAGCTTCACTGGGATTTGGTATCTTCTGAAAGGATCCTCGTGTTCATGTGTTCGTTCATTCATTCATTCAATTACAGTTATGTGCCAGGAACAGTGCTAAGCCCTTAGAAGGAAAAGAGTTGAAACTGGCCTGGGTCCTGACTTTAAGAAAGAACCACTGAAGGAACTACAGTGAGTATGCTGATATTGTACAGAAAGGCTAAACAAGGGCCCAAAGTCAGGTAGGAATTGAATAAATGGAGTGAGATGGAAATTCCCAGGAGAGAGGATCCTGGATGGATTTAGGAGTCCATCGTGTTTAGTTGGACCTTGCAGATCACAGTGAATCGAGATGTGTGGAATGAGAATGAAGAGGACGAAGCAAGACTGTATTGGACTGGAGGACGCAGGTGTAGGGGTGTGTGTGTGTGTGTGTACTAAGTATATATATTGAAGGTATTGTGTGGGTATTATGGGATGTGCTCTGTGCAGTTGTCCCGGGCCTGTGAGTCTGGTGTCACTGGGTACGTACTGAGGGTAAGAGGGGATGCTGGAGTACACGGGATGGGAGGGGATGGGATATAGGCACAGTGTGTGTTAAATGGGGTTTCTGGGGGTGATTTAGAGTAGAGATGTGTACGTGTTTATAGGGTGAGCTTCAACAGGTGGGAGGAAAGAATCAATGGATACCATGCCCCTTCCTATTTCCCAGCTCAGCAGATTCCCCTTCCCACCTCCTCATCTGGGGGCCTCCCCTATCCTGACCCTCAGACCCCAGGAAGCTGCTGACCCTGCCGACAGAGTCCATCTGCTCACTGGAGGGGCTCCCGGCGAGAGGGAGTCTGAAAGACGTAACAACTAGCAGGAGAAAGAAGGGGGTCACAAAGTGGCATTTGCCATCATATTAACCAAATACTTATAGTTATTCCGATGGGAGGCGGAGTGACACTGCACAATGATAGCTAACATGGTGGGAGCCCGACGCCCTGGGGGAGGCTCAGGTGGGACAGTGCCGCTGGGATCCCTCCTCATACCCTACGACTCGGGCCTTTCTCTGTTCCATCCAGGTGAGGCTGCAGCAGCCGGGCTGTAAAATCATTTCCCCTCTGTGAGGAGGTAGCTCGCATCCCTCCACCTTAATCGGTGCCTGCACATTTAAGCAGACCACAGGCACTGATTAACTGTTTTCTCGCTGGCGCTCCTTGGCTGTTGGTTCATAACCTGGAGCCCGTCTTGCACAAGCTGTGGAATTGGTTTGTGCACAGCAGAGAAATGATCCGGGGCTACATGTCAGCACAATATCCCCTGGCAAACTGCTGCTCCTTTGAGTTCAGAGATGTACCACTTGGGTATTTAACAAAGTCTGTAACACGGGCCAGAAAAAATGGAGCAGCTAGCAGAGACAGGAGATAAACCGAGTAGGCAAAAATGTGAGTTGAGAAACCAGTCAAATCGAAACTAGGTGCCTAACAAGTCCCAGACTTTGGTCATCATCGAAGAAGCTACGGAAGACGATGTCACTTCAGCTGCCCAAGCCACTGACCACCCTGAGGCTAAAGATGCCCACACAGAGATGTGCCTTGCGGTACTGTGTATGACAGTGAGGTGTGGGGAGATGAAAGGTCCTGCAATCAGGAAACGGGTAAGGAAATTATCCCACATTGATACAACATTCTACAGCCATTAAAAGCAACATGTGCGAAGAGTCTGGAATGATATAAAAAAATGCGACGTTATAGCATTCTCGGATGAAAAAGTAGGATAGAGACTGTGTATATCATGGATCACATAGAGATCAACTATGAATAGAAAGAGCAAATATCTAATGTTTTTACAGAATAGTCAATCATATTAGTTATTCTGTACGATGTATTCTGTACATATTAGTTGTTTGTACAATGGTGTAAGCCTGAGGTCAGCGAACTTGTTCTATAAAGGACCAGATGGTAAGTATTTTAGACGTTGCGGGCTATACAGTCTCTGTCGCAATGGCTCCACTCGGCGGCTGGAGTCTGAAAGTCACCAGACAGTGTGTTGTCAACAAATGGGTGTGGCCGTGTTCCAATAAAACTTTATTTATAAAAACATGCGGCACATTGGATTCGTCCACCACAGGCTATAATTTGCTGATCCCTGGTATACACCTAAATTATACTTTTGAAAGGGGGGACAAGGACATAGAAGAACGGCCCTTCCATTGAGCGCTGGCTCTGGCCTGCACGTTGTCTTTCTGATCCTAGGAGGGTGGGGGGAAAGAAGTCCAGACCCTAGCAATCACACGTGACCGGCAGGGCCAGGAACACAGGGCAGAGCTGACTTGTGGGGGCCTCTCTCTGCCTGGGCTGCCACACTCTCCCTCTCTTTGTTTGACTCATCCCATATCTCTCCCCCATCCCCCCTTCCCTGCTATGTCTCCATTCCTAAGGCAAGTTAACTGCTGTTTTAATAGATGTGAAGGAACTCCTCCCAGCACGTCAATTCCAGGAAGAGGAAGGCAGAGGAGTCCTGAGTGGACTGCAGGCCGGGGGGAGGCAGAAGCCTCTGTGCCACTTACATGGGATTCGAGGTCACTGGATGCAGGACGACCTGGGGTGCCCGGGTCGGCGTCTCCAGCACTGGCACCACATCTGACAGCAGAGATCAGATAGTCAGGACCCGGACGTGGAGTCACACCCCCCAACACCTGACTTCTGGAAGCTAGTAGCTGCTCACCAGCTCGTGGGTCCCCTCCCCTTCCTGGACCACCTGCTTAGATGCAGCAGTGGTCCAGATGGCATCTTGACCGAAATTCCCTGCCGTTACCTAGGGGGCTGCCAGAATCCCCAAGGCTCTGGTCATCTCCAAATCCTCCCCACTCCTGCTTCCCTTTGGAACGATGAGGTCACATGGTTTGACCACCTCTCCCCTTCCATGTGCTCTGGACCTCCCCTGCTCTTGCCCGTCCTTCTACTGTGGACCACCTTCCCAGACGACCTCCTTGGTGCCATTGCGCCCTTGGGACTCCCCACACTTTCCTTTTCCACTTCCACGTCTAGCCACTGTCCTGGGGCCAGGTGATCCCACTACCACCCCACTGAGCTTGTCCGCTCCGACATTCACCTCCATCCATCCCACTCAGAAGGGGCTGAGCTCACAGGGACTCACCTGGGAAGATGAACTGCTGCTTGTATTGGTAGTAGTGGGACGCTAGCAAGAGAACAAAATCACCAGAGTGAGTGCTGCCGTAGAGCAGGCCCTTCGGGTACCCGATGGGGCTCCCACAGCCACGGTGTGGGTTCTCTGCCCGCCCTTGAGGGTTTCCAGACTCCTGCAGACACCCCGAATTCCAAGGGACTGAGACGTGTAAAGACCAGAGCACTAAACATCCAAGCCAACCCTCTCATTAAAAGCTCCCTGAATACAGAGCACCCCAAGTCAGAGAGTCATTCGGAGCACAACCCCATTTTTGGCAAATGCGTAAGAACGCACACAGAGAGAAGTCTGTGGAACCACAATCTAAAATGTTAAATTTTCCCCTTTGGGTAGCGTGACTGCAGTGACTTAACAAACAACAACGAGGAGTTTCCTGTGTTTTCCAAGTTCTCGGCATTGAGCATTGTATTAGTCCTCTTATTGCTGCTGTAACAAATCACCACAAACTTTGTGGCTTAGCACAAAATGAACTTATTGTCTTACAGGCCTTTGGAGGCTAAGTCTGAAATAAGTCCTAAGGGCTAAAATCAAGGAGTTGCCAGGCCTGGTTCCTTCTGCAGTTCCTTGCCTCCTCCGGCCCGTGGGCTGCCTGCACTGCTTGGCTCACAGCCCAATCTCGGCTCCGTCTGACACCGCCTTCCACCGTCTCTGACCTTCTTGCCTCCCTCACCTGAGGATCCTTGGGATGACATTTAGAGGCCCCAGAAAATCCAGGATAATCTTTCCACTTCAAGACCCTTAACAAAGTCACAGCTGGAAAGTACCTTCTGCCATGTAAGGTAACATCATCACAGACCCCGCGACTAGAACGTGGTCATCTTTGGGGGACCATTAGCCTGCCTACCACAGTATGAATTAATTTCCAT